AATGGATTCACCCTTGATTCTCAAGTAAGTACACGCTTCAATTTATCTATTATTGAAATAATTTCATTTTTAGCTAAAAATACGTGATGTACTATAACATCATATGGTATATCTATAACATCTTAATGTTGTCGTTACGATCTTGATATTGATTGCAATGAAATACAAAATTTGATATGGAATAAACGTATTGATAAAGGGAAATTACTATAATTTTTGCATGTGACTAGTATAATTTAAAATTATTTAAAGTTCAACTTATTAAACTTCAATTTCTAAAATTCAATTTCTTTGTCACTTATGACAGCACAATAACATGAAGATATTATTATTATTTAACAGAACGATAATAATAATAAAAAATTGAAAAGACCACCTCGATGAAGAAAATCTTTAACTACAATATTCAATATTCCAAACCAAACAATTTCGTTCGGATTATTACTTCGTTTCGGTAAAGCTAACGAAAATATTAAAGGATACAAAATAAATGAAATACCGTTTATAATTTGCTTAAGCCACTGATCTTCCAGCAGAAGCTTTTGTTATGCAAAGCAGGCATTTTAACGCCACGTTGCTGGAGAATGAGTCGAAATTTATAGTATCCGATAATACTGAATAGGGGAAAAATGGTTCGCGTTGGTGAACCGTATGTAAGAGAATACCAAGTGACGTTACTTGCAAAGTATTGATGCTTTAAATGAATATTTTTCTAAGAAGATAAAATCAAATAGTTATAAATAGACTACAGATTTTATGCATTTATGGCAAAAATATATAAACAAAATTTAAAATATTGAAAAGAAAGAAATTGATATTGGATTTTTATTAAAAAGTCAAAATTATAATGTAATGTAAACTTTATCATAATGCTTTAACGCCAACCAAATACAGGGTGTTTTAAAAAATAGCTCAAGACAAAGATTTATAGTACTCGCCGAGAGGAGTAAAAAATGTCCAATCAACATGGATCCAAAAATTAATCCTTACGACGAAAATAGACTTCTAGTATATATTTAATGATAAATTACATAAAATATTACGATAAAGTTTATAAATAATCAGGATATTAATGTACATTTCATGTACATTATTACCATAAATTATTTCCTCTACTCTCATTTAC